TGAAAAGCAACCTGTTCAAATTTGCTGATGATACCAAAATTTGGGGTGAGGTGGGCACACTAGTAGGGAGGGAAAGACTGCAGAAAGACCTGGATAGGTTGCAAGGGTGGGCTGACAAAAACAGGATGCGTTTCAATACGGACAAGTGCAGGGTGCTGCACTTGGGTAGTAGTACCAGCAGCACACTTATAAGATGGGGAACTCCCTTCTTGAGAGCATGGAGGCAGAAAGGGATCTTGGAGTCATCGTTGACTCCAAGATGAACATGGGCCGACAATGCGAGGTCACGGTCGGCAGGACTAACCGGACCCTATCGTGCATCCACAGGTGCATCTCAAGTAGGGCCAAAGAGGGGATCCTCCCCCTCTACGTGACACTGGTCAGTCCACAGCTGGAGTACTGTGTCCAGTTCTGGGCACCCCACTTCAAGAGGGATGTGGACAACAACATTGAGAGGGTTCAGAGGAGGGCCACCCGCATGATCCGGGGACAACAGGGCAGACCCTACAATGAGAGGCTATGGGACCTGAACCTGTTCAGCCTTCACAAGAGAAGGCTGAGGGGGGACCTTGTGACTGTCTATAAACTCACTGGGGGGACCAGAAGGGTTTGGGGGAGACCTTGTTTCCCCTAGCGCCCCCCAGGATAACAAGGAATAACAGCCACAAGTTGTTGGAGAGTAGGTTTAGATTAGACATCCGTAGGAACTATTTCACAGTTAGGGCAGCTAGGATCTGGAACCAACTTCCAAGGCAAGTGGTGCTGGCTCCTACTCTGGGGGTCTTTAAGAAGTGGCTCGATGCCTACCTAGCTGGGGTCATTTGAGCCCAGTTTCCCTCCTGCCCAGGCAGGGGGTCGGACTTGAAGATCTACAAGGTCCCTTCCGACCCTACTTCTATGATTCTATGATAAGACTGAGAGGTGACTTGATAACCGCCTACAAGCATGTCAGGGGTGAACACCAAGATCTAGGGGAGCAACTTTTCAGAAAGGCATACTGTGGGAGGATGAGGACCAATGGGACAAGCTAACTGACGAAAAATTTAGGCTGGACATAACGAAAAACTTATTTTCTGTAAAGGTAACTAGAATCTGGAACACACTCCCAGCAGAAGTGGTGCAATTGCCATCCCTGGAGGTGTTCAAGAGAAGGCCAGACACGCACCTTGTTGAGCTCGTTTGACCCCAATGACCTCTTGCCCATTGTAGGGGACTGGACTTGATGATCTTACAGATCTCTTCTGGTCCTTTGATTCTATGACCTCTGTGCCATCAATCTCGGGGATGAGGATCAGCAGTGAGGGCAGGAATTCTGGGTACTCCCAAGGGGTGAAGATTTGCTGCCTATAGCAAGCATCAGTGGAAAGACTCACTGACACCTGATCTAAAGGGGTGGTAACCCTGCAAGGGACCTCCCTTTGATGCCAAGACACAGCTGGCATAGACTGAGGATATTAAAATCTGTAAGGTGATGATGTCACGGTTGGCATGTGTGAAAGCTCCCTTCAATCTTTCTGACAGCACCATCTACTCATGAAGTTTCGTTTTGATGTTAGTTATAATTTGGGGTTTCGCTGACCCGGTAACTTTCTCATCAAAGTGCTCAGGCCAGAGTCCTGACAGGGGCAAACCAGGCTCCAGAGCACTCACAGCAAATGAAGAGATACTGAGAGCAGGTGGGCTTCCACAGCATAACTTCACTCAGGCAGAGGCCTAGAAGTACTAGGAGCTTACAAGATGGGTTGAGACTTATGGTGGGGAATGGGAGGCTGCGCTGGGTCTTTGCGGGTGTGACTGCATGATAGCCATGGGACAGGGAAGCCTGTGGGACTCAGGCATCCTGGCTTCAACCACCACCATGACCTTGACTCTGTCCCCAGACACACTGGCTGATCTTGTCTCATAATCAGGGCCTGATGGTAAATGCTCTCTGCACTGCACTGGGTGCTGCACTGGTGGAAAGCAGGAAGGCACACCCTAACCCCAAAGATGCCAATTCACCCCTGCAGTGCTGTCTGGAGAGGTGCATACTTTCATGCCCATTGCCCATGTTCACCTTTCCCCTCCCCATATCAGGGCTGCAACCATTGGCCGGAGCAGGGTAGGTTAGAGAGACAGGGACAGGCCAAATCCCTGGAGCGCTGGCAGCCACAGAGCAGCACAGGGCTGGAGCCAGGGAGGGACAGTGCTCACCTGAACAGGTTGCTGCCTAGCAGGGAATTTCTAACCCTGCTCCTACTGGGGGCAACTGGGCCCTACTGGTGGGGAGGGACTGGTTCCCAGCGCAGATGCTGTCAATAAACAGAGCTCACCGGGTCATCCCTGTGTGAGAATAGCCCTTTATTACCAGCACAGCAAGTGAAGCAGGAAGGTACTTGGACAGAGGCTCCAAGAGGTAAATGCAACAATTCGCATTGGCACAGCCCTTCCCGGCCTGGCCCAGGGCAAAGTGGACTTGGGGCCCTAACAGAGTCACCATGTGCACTGGCCACTGCCACTCACCTTCTGCTCCCTCATGCCAAGCCAGCTGTGCCCGCATACATGACTGCCACAGCTGCCTTCATGAGTGCCCCATACACTTTCCCATGCAAGTCTGGGAACCTGTCAGGCCCATGATGCCAGGTTTGAATAGCATCACCCCTACTGTGGCCTCTGAGGTCTTGAGGTGGAAGAAGAGGAGTTGCTCATAGTTGGAGACAGGAGGCAGAGATGCTGGCATGTGACAGGCAGGGCAGCAGGGCAGAGTGAAGGTTATCTGGGACCACATCAGACTCCAAGCCAGTCTGGGACAACCTGTAGAGAGGCCAAGCTCAGGGGACACAGGGAGCCATCCTGGCAGGTGACAGGATGGCATCCAGGGAGTTCCTGCTGGCCTGTGAATGTGGGGAATCCTGCTGCAGCCACTGTTATGGGCCCTTGGCACTCAGGCTTCTCTGCCATGCTTAGGAGGGGGAGTTGTGGGGAGAGGTCAGGTTCTCTCAAGCTGTCTGTCTGGGACTGAATCTCCAGGCACACAGCCAGCAGGTCAGGAGGGAGAGGCACAAACCACCCTAGGTGCATAGATGAATACTGCCCAAGGCCTGTCTCTGCCATGGGGTCCTGGTCCCAGCCCCAGGCCCCACCCCTGCTGCAGCACTGCCTCATCTGCTGTCCTGCAGGAAGGCCCACATCAGCTGATTGACCTTCTCCGGCTGGTCCTCGGGCACCCAATGGCTGCACTGGGGGAGGAGCTCAATGCGGCACCCGTGGTGGAAGTACCGCTGCAGGACTGCAAGGAGCCCAACCTCCAGGAACACGTCCTTCTTCCCCCAGATCACCAGTGTGGGTGTCAGTACAGTCTTCTTCACAAAAGGCCTCCTGCATGGGGGAGGGAAAGATACAGGGGAGAACTCCCTCGGGCACTGGGTCCTAAAGCGGCCCCCACCCTTCCCCAGTGATCCCTGGTTCAGCCCCGAGGCACACAGACCTTGGGCTCTCTGTGCTGGGAGCCTTCTTCTCTCGGGGGCACCTGTACCCACTAGCATATAGTGGGGCAAGTCCCAATGTGAGAGGGGACCCTGGAGGTTGATGCACCCCCTCAGCATGGCTCTGAAAGGCCCACAACCTCCTTTGTAATAAAGTAGGTTTAGATAGGATATCAGGACAAACTTCTTCACTGTTATAATAGCAAGGCGATGTGAGAGTAGCCTAGGGAAGTTGTGGACTCTCCATTACTGGAGGTGTTCAGAAGAAGTTTGACAACTACTTGTTGGGGATGATGTAGGCGTAGCAATGCCCATATTCTACTATGGGGGGTTTCCAGGTTTCTGGGCATCACTGGTTGCTCCCGCCACACCTTTCTGCTATGTGTCAAGGGTATTTAAGCCTCCCTCAGAGGCATTGGGCATTGGCTACAGCCCTGGTTGGAGATGGTGACGGAGCTGTGCCAATGCTCCTGCTGGGATTCAGTCCTGGAGGTACCTGGGTAGTGGGTCTTGCCTCTGCTTAGAACCAGAGCAATTCTCATAGTTGGGGTCAGGAAGAAATTTTACCCCATGGTCAGATTGGTGTGAACTGTGTGGGGTTTTGCCTTCCTCTGTAGCAGGGGCATGGCCTCTATCTAAGATTTCTTGAGTGTATATTAACAAGCTTTTGACAGAAACATGGTGTTATCTGCTGTGGTTTCCCTGCTTTGCCTGTGGTTTGGGTGTCATGTCTTGTATTGTCAGGGTGGATGGATTTGTCTGGGATGGTTTGGAATGGGCTGATCTGGCCTCAGGCAGGGGGTTGGACTAGATGTGACCTTTGGAGGTCCCTTCCAGCCTCACTTCTCTGATTCTGTGATTCCTCCCTGGGGCTACAGCATGACAGCAAGGGTTTGGAGCAGAAGGGCACATGAGGGGAACAGAGTTATTATCCCAGAATTATTATCCCTAGAGTTATTCTGATATAATAAAGGGCTTAGTCTGTCTGTCCATAATGCTTTTGATCAAGTGTGCATGCATCACCACTGAGATAGGGTTACCATTCGTCTGGGTTTCCCTGGATGTGTCCTGCTCTTTTTAAGCCCTCTAATCTCCACCCAGCAGGTTGTCCGGGATTTCCCTTTGCTCCACTGGTACAAAGGGGAGGGTGATCACAGGCAGCAGAGAGGACACATGGACCTGCCTACAGCTGTAGAGGTGTGCAGAACCATGTGGTGCTCTCTGCTGCCTGCGATCGCCCTTCCCCTGCTCCCACCCCTGGAGCAAAGGAAAAACGCAGACATTTGGTCAGGGCAGGGGGAGTGGGGGCTGCAGCTGCGACAGGGCAGTGGGCAGGATTCCTTTTCTCCAGCAGGGGAAGGTGGTGGGGCGGGGGCTTGGAGGGCAGTGGGGAACTCCGTGGCCGGAGGCAGCACAGGGACTAGTGCCTGTGCTCCGGGGGCTGAGCAGCCACGAGAGGC